TGAAATTCCAGAACAGCCCCTCCTAGGGGCTGGTGACCATTATCTAAACTAGAAACCCTGAAGTTTAGCACCTATCCTCTTGAGACACCCCTGTGGTGCAAGCCAACCAATTTTTTTTTTTTTTAGCCAACCAATTTAAAGTATGTCACACCCCTTGATTTAACCAACAACTTGTTTCTGATCTTTTCCCACTTTGTAGTGTGTCAATCATACTATAGAGTTGTTTTATGATTTTCCCGTGGTATGTAGTGATTTGTTACAAGATGTTATGATGTATGCAAAGCCCCTGCCCTCCCTAAAACAAGTGTATAAAAAGTATTGTAACCCTGGGCTCTGGGCCTCTCAGCGTCATCGGCTGCTGCAAATATGGGGTGGATGCTGCAAATGTGGGGTGGACAAAGTCAAGCTTGCAATAATGACTCCTTTGCTTTTACATTGGTGACGGTCTCTGGTGGTCTTTTGGGTAAGCATTTTCAAACTCAAGCTTTACATTAAAAACTACATGCCAGGACCGGTGGTTCATGCCTGTAACCCTAGCTGCTCAAGAGGCCAAGATCTGGAATCATGATTCAAAGCCAGTCTGGGCAGGAAAGTCCATGAAACTCTCAGCAAATTAATGCTCTAATTAACCAACAGATGCCAGCAGTGGAGTTGTACCTTAAGTGGTAGACCTAGACCCTCTCCCAGACCCAGATCCAGTCCCAAACTCAGTCTGAGTCAGACCCAGACTCAGACCCAGTCTCAGACCCAGTCCTAGACCCAGCCCCATTCCCCCAGAACCAGATGCCTTCCCAGACCCAGACCCCAGTCACAGATCCAGACCCAGTTCCAGACCCAGATCCAGTCCCAGACACAGACTCAGACCCAGACCCCCCAGACTAAGACCCGCAAACCCAGTCTCAGACCCAGACCCAGTCCTAGACCCAGACCCAGACCTAGACCCAGTCCTAGACCCAGAAATAGACCCAGAACTAGAACCAGACAGACCCAGACCCCAGATCCCAGACCCCAGATCTCAGACCCAGATCCAGACCCAGGAGCAGACTCAGCTCCCAGCGCCCAGGCCTAGCCCCTTCCCAGACCCCAGACCCCAGACCCAGACCCAGACCTAGACCCAGCCCCAGACCCAGTGTCCCAAACCCAGACACTGTCCTAGACCCAGAGCCAGAGCCAGACCCAGTTCCAAACCCAGACCCCAGTCCCAAACCCCAGACCCCAAACCCCCGATCCAGGTCCAGACCCAGTTCCAGACCCAGACCTAGACCAAGTCCTAGTGTCCCAGAGTCCCAGAACCAGACCCAGAGCAAGATCCAGAGCAAGAACCAGTCCCAGATACCAGACCACAACCCAGACCTAGATCTAGACCCAGTCCGAGACTCTGACCCCAGACCCCAGAAGCCAGACCCAGACCCAGACCCCAGACCATATCCCACACCCACACCACGAGCCAGAGCCAGACCCAGACCCAGACTCACACTCCAGACCCAGTCCCAGACCCCAGACCCAGACCTAGAACCAGTCCCAGACCCAAGACCCTAGTCTCAGACCCTGTCCCAGACCCAGATCCTAGACCCCAGACCTAGTCCCAGTCCCAGACCCAGACTCAGTCCCAGACCCAAACCCACACCCAGACCGCAGACCAAAACCCAGACCTACATCCAGATGCAGAATGCAGACTCATTCCCAGACCGAGACCCAGACTCATACCCCAGACTCAAACCCAGTCCCAGTCCCAGTCCCAGACCCAGACCCTGACACAGACCCAGTCCCAGTCCCAGACCCAGACCCAGACTCAGCCCCCAGCCCCCAGACTCAGGAACCAGATCCCGGGCCCAGATCCAGACCCAGTCCCAGAACCAGCCCCCAGCCCCAGCCCCTTCCCAGACCCCAGAACCCAGTCCCAGACCTAGACCCAGTCCCAGAACCAGACCCCCAACCCTAGACCCAGACCACAGACTCTAGACCCAGACCTAGGTCCAGACCCAGACCCAGACCTAGACCCAGTCCTAGACCCAGACAGTCCCAGACCCAGACCCCAGACCCCAGACCCCAGACACAGCCCCATTTCCAGACCCCAGACCCCCAGACCCAGACCCAGATGCATTCCCAGACCTAGACCCCAGTCACAGATCCAGACCCAGTCCAGAACCAGTCCCAGACTCAGACTCAGACCCAGACCCCAGACCCCAGACACCAGACCAAGACCCCAAACCCAGTCCCAGACCTAGACCCAGTCCTAGACCCAGATTCAGATCTAGACCCAGTCCTAGACCCAGAACTAGAACCAGACAGTCCCAGACCCCAGATCCCAGACCCAGATACAGACCAAGAAGCAGTCCCAGACTCAGACCCCAGCCCCAGCCTCTTCCTAGACC